TTATTTTTACTCATTTTCTAAAAAATATCGACAAATTTTTTTCAAAATACGTAATCCGATAAAATTTTCTCAACGTGTATATATTATCGTGTATGGATAATATCTGAAATAAAAATTATGTTAAACTACACATTAATCAAATATTAAATGATTAGACAGATGATAGAAATTAGTGATGTAATATTTTTTGGAAAAAAAATATGTATGAGATAAAAATTTAATTTGCAAAGTGTTTTATGATATAGATATGACGCGGTTGAGACATAAAGTTAGTAAGGGTAATATTAGTGTTATAAACTTGAAAATGGCCTTTTTTTATTGTGAACTTGATCTATTATGCATAAAAATACAAGTTGATTGGTATATTGCTTATGTGACGTTTGGGATGATTTATAAATTTTGAAAGTATTTTGTAATTAAGTGTTAATCAAAAATCATTTATTAAAAAATAACTTTTATAAAATAACACCATGTAGATGTTCAGAATAAAAATGCTCATAAAAAGTGAATTATAAAAATGTATCTTTAGATGATCAACAATGGTGTGGGGACATTTGGTAGGTGGTTTTGATGGTGATGAGTAGTGGTGGTAGTGGGTGGCGGGTGGCGGCGGTAGTTTGTGATAATAATAATTGTATACATGAAAAGTGTTTTTGACTAGCTAGTAAAGTTTTTAGAGAAAATAGAAGTTTCATTTTTTTTCCTACTTTTGAATTTATATGGAATAATACTTTAACTTACTACGAGCTAATTTCAAAAATTGTTACAAACACTATTTTTTTTTTTTTGGTTAAAAATATTTACTACAAAGCATAAGTCTTAAAAATATTTTCCTTAAGCATTCCACATGCTACTATAATATTTCCAAATGTGCAATAAAGGCATAATTAAAGGATTATATTGGTGAAGGATAAAAAAATGTGTTGCCCTAATTACGGAATTACACCCGACAAAAGAAGGGTTAGAGGTCAACAAAACCAATTAGAAAGATCGAGCAAACTCCGTGGATAGTTTAATATAGACAATGATAAAATGTAAACTAAAATATTCTGAGCTCAAAACTTGGTAATTCTCTTACAGTCAAAAATTTAAGTATTTAGAGAATATAACTTAAATATTTATACTTTAATATATCCCTTCACGTGAAGGCTAGATTTTGGGCCTAACACTTGAAAATATTTTTAATAATTCAGGTAGAAATAAGATTCGAATACAAGACCTCCTGTTTCAAGAATTAATTGAGGTACACATAAGTTCTATTTATCTACTCTAAAATTTTATTTGGAGATGATGTAACTTAAATACATTTATACTTCAACAAATAATTAATCAAAATATGCATAAAATATATTTATACTTTAACAAAAAATTAATCAATGCATGCATAACTGACCCGAAGATTTCTCATAAAAAAAAAAATCATGCAAGACCCACTATGTATCGTTGGTGTGATGAATAAGCCATGACAAAAGTGAATGGTAGTACGAATATGGACCATATTGTAATTCTTTATAATATTGAGGATTTTATTTAAACATTATGAAATTTTAAGGTACAAATTATGATTTTGAATATTTTTTGAGGTACAAAGTGACACTGTCACCCACGTTGTAACTTTTCCACCATGTTGCATGCATAATTTGAGATTCTTAGAGCACCACCATGGGGAGTGGTATTAGGGGCGACAACTCAATAACTGTTAAAATGTCACTTTAAATTCAAAATTTCACTCTAATGGAGTGACATTTAAGAGTCTTGGGGTGACAATTTTGACAACTCTAAATAGAGAAAGGAGAGGTTGCAAAGAGTCGTTGGGGTCTACTGTTCCCTCTCAATAGCTCTATTCAACCAAAAAATTTTATAAAAATACAGAGAGAGAGAAAAGGAAAGGAGGCTTACTGTGAAAATTGCTTGCCGGAAGAGGTTATGCTCCCTAAAAATTGTTTGTCATTGTAAGCTTCTACTGCTTGAAAATTGTTTACCGTTGCCATTGTAAGTTGCCACGAAAGAGGCGCAGAGGGCGCAAAGGAAGGGGAAGGAGGTGTTCTGGGTGATTTTACCCCCAATTTGCCTCTTTGATCGTTGATGTTTCTATTTTTCAGGTACTATTTATTTTAGGGCAAATGATACCTTGTATCCCAAAAATTTTTTGTATTCTCAATTTATATATTAAATTTTTTTTATATTGTCATATTATACCATTAATCAAACAAAAAGTAGCAATGTGCTCTATTTTAAAAAATTCAACAAAAACTTTTTATTGAAAACATTTAAAATAGATTATTATGCAACTAGGCGTTATAATTTGTTTTAATTAAAAGTAATTTGATTTATTTTTTAATTGATTATTTTATCTTACCTTTAAATTTATTATAATTTTTTTTTATAGATGGATTCGCAATTTGATGGTTCTTTCATTAATTTGTTTGTGAACAATACCGATTTATATGATGATACTATGCATACCAATCCCATAGTATTTGCGCCAGTATAAAATAAAGGCACTCCAAGAATGAGAAAATCACAAAGGATAAAGAACTTCTTTCTAGAAGAAGATAAATTAATTGTGTCTGTGTGGCTTAACATGAATAAAGATGTAATTATTGGAAATGAACAACAAGGTAGTGCTTTCTAGCATAGAATATTAAAATACTTAGAATTTCATGAAGGCAATCAAGAAAAGTGTTCACAAACTTTTATTAAAAGCCGTTGGATTGATATAAATGCAAAAGGCAGTAAATTTGTCGATTTTTATAGTCAAATTGAAAGATTGCGACAAAGTGGACATACCGAGCAAAATTATGTAGTGATTGAGTTTTTTTAGATAGACACGACTATGATTTGATATTTAAACTGTGAGGGATCTACCTCCCCATTACCAGGGATATACCTCCCTCCAAGAGCAATCCTCTCCATTACCGGGGATATCCCGCTCTCCATCAAAGGATTTCGGCTGACCTGCGGGGCAAAGTCCCACAGTAGCCTTTACCTCTGTCCCACATCGGGGAAAGAGTCGTCTCCCCACCCCCATATAAGCCGAAGCACCATATGAGAGCAGTACCCAAGTAACATATGGGGGTGGGGAGACGACTCTTTCCCCGATGTGGGACAGAGGTAAAGGCTACTGTGGGGGTTTGCCCCGCAGGTCAGCCGAAATCTTTTGATGGAGAGCGGGATATCCCCGATAATGGGGAGGATTGCTCTTGGAGGGAGGTATATCCCCGGTAATGGGGAGGTAGATCCCTCACATAAACTATTGACTGAATGATTTCATATATTTTTTCAGGTTAATGAAGTAAAAAAAAATGTTTGCTATGATCATTGGAATACCATTTCAATACGCGAAAATGGACTGATAATCTCACTAGCAATAAAAAGAGCAAAAACATATTCAACTGGTAGTCTTGCTGAATCAAATCATGTTGAATCTTGTTATTCAACTTCATATTTAGGGGATAACACTGAACCCTTGTCCATTCCCAACCTCGATAGGTCATTGGGCAAAAAAAGTTCGGAGAAATAACTTAAAAATAAAGAGAAGCAAACTGTTGTTGAAGTATCACTAGATCATCACCACTGGAATCAAAAAATGAAAGTGGAATGACAAAAACTTGAGTGACACGACAAAATTTATACTCAACAAGAGATAACATTGAAGCAACATCGTAGACAGTTAAAAATTGAAGAAATGCAGGTGCAAAAAATTGAAAGGAAGAATGAACTGTAGAATGAAATGAAAATCATGAAAACTGACACTACTGGTATGGACTCAATTTTTGCAACATATTGGAATAACATGAATATAAAAATTATGAAAAAACAGGGTTTTAATTTTTAGTAGTTATTTATTATGTTGCTATTATTTTTAATTTTTAGTCATTCTTTATTATGTTTCTATCATTTATGAAAAATTATGTATTAAGTTTTAATTGTGGTGTATAAGTTTAATTATATTTTTTAATAATATAATTAAAAAATGGTATCCCATTTTAGTAGCTATTATTGGAGTAAATTTATAATTTAAGAATATCAAAACACTGTTTAAGATTACAAATAAGTGATTTGACATATCAAAATGACAACTCCCTTTAAAATTGCACTTAGTGCTGAACTGCCCAGATGGTGACATTAAAAAATATGATACTCTTTTTATTTTGTAATTACGATGTATTTTAATATGCATCGACTACTCTCCCGAGTGCAGCCACCGTGACTTAAAATAATTTAGACTATATCCAAATGTCCCTAAGGGGACTTGTGGAGTCTCACATCAAAATTATTGTTACCGAGGTTTTTATGGATGTAAAATATTATAATCAGTCATGAAAAATATAAAATTTAAATTAAATTACAATAAATTAAAATTATTCATGATGGATTAGAAATAATTATGAATTTTCATTTATACATTATAATAAGTTCATAAATAATATTTTTTAATACAAAAATATAAATTTAATATTATAGTTAGAAAGTTAAATTTTTAACTTATAAAAACATAACATCTATTAAAATTGATATATTTTTCATTTAAAATGATCAAATAGTACAAAATTGATCATAAAATATTTTTTTTCTCCAAAAAACATCATTTTTTTCATGACTCTCAATATTAGATAACTCAACGAACATACTCTCCGATATCAAACAATTCTCTTAATCCACACAAATCTCTCTTCTCTCCCCTATATGTTGTTTTCTATTTATTTTAAAATTTAAATTAAAAAATTAAAAAATTATTACTTAAATTACAAATATTACACCATCGATACTCTTTTTTTGGTATTCTATTGTGTGTTCAGACAAGAATTATTGATAATTTTTCAATATCACAATCATTTGATTGGTATAAACGTGGAAAGAACGTTTAGTGAAATAATGATGTGATTATACAATACTTGAGGGGTCGATCTCATTTACTGACAAATCATACGTAGGTAAGTGTAATTAATCCCCTCAACTAAAAAACTAGACATCCCCAAAATTCGAAAACGGAAGAATCACCGTTCCAGCTCTCTCTCTCTCTCTCCCTCTCACTTCTGAATTCTCAATTCCTCGCCGTGAAACCCTAATTAACACTCCGCCGGTACCATCAAACCGCTTATTTTCGCCGGAACTTGCCCTTTTCTTCAATCTCCGGCGGTTCTCTCAGATATTGCATTAGAATGGAACTCCTCAGCGTCGAACCTCAAGAGCTTCAATTTCCATGTAATTTTCTCCACAACATCTAATCGTTATTATTGAAAATTTCTTATGGAGTAATCGCTATTGTATTCAGATCTGTGCTTTTGCTTTTTTGTTTCGAGTGATTTTGTTTGATTTTTTTTTCTTTGTTCTTTGATTTTTGAAGTTGAACTGAAAAAGCAGATCTCATGTTCTATGCAATTGACGAATAAGACAAGTAACTATGTGGCTTTCAAGGTATTTATTTTGATTTCTAAATGAGATGTTGTTTCATTGTGATTTTGGATCAATTGCGCACCCTGGTACGTAATGATGTGGGGTTTCGATTATAAGATCGGTTTTTAATTTTTCAGGTGAAGACGACAAATCCGAAGAAGTACTGTGTGCGGCCTAATACAGGAGTTGTCATGCCCAACTCTACTTGCGATGTCGTTGGTATATAACTAACTGTCTCTCACTCTCTCACTCTCTCTCTCTCTCTCGGTTTGTCAATATTTAAACGACTACTTTTCTTTTCTTTTTTTTGAATTTATTATTTGTTGCCACCATGATAATCCTGTTAGATTATGACTTACTTTTGGTTTAAAGTTTTGCTGTAGATACACTATCTAGGTCGTAATTTAAGTCCCTTAACGAGAGTTTAAGTACAGGCGACCTTAACAATTAGAATTATTGTTCTATAGTACTAACCGCCAAAGAATAAGAAAAAGATTGCTGTAGCACACAACACTTGTTTATTGTAAAAAGACTAGGGGAGCTATCTCTCTGGAGATTTGCTTATATTACCACTAAGACGAGGTCACAGGAATTACATAGGAATCAAAGAATATCCTTAAACATAATGCTTCCCTTTGAACAGAATATCGATGAAATGCATGGTAGGTCGCCTCATTGTGTCTATATGACCACGGTATACAGAGAGAGTGTGTTCCTGTTCTTTTGAATTTGGCACAATCTAGACCCGGCAAAACAAGCACTTGCCCATTGAATCACGCATGATACAAGACACAATTCTCATTCCAAAGCCAGGAGAATCGTTGTAGCATCATAGTGAAGGTGGCAGACAATAATGGAGACCTGTCAGTGGTTTAACCTAACCGACCCTGCTAGGCATGGCAGATGCCATCAACAGAATGAGCTTAAAGACAAGACGGTAATCATAATATTACTGCCAATGTTGATGATCATTGCAATCATATAGTCTCTTTATTCTTGCTTTACATATCAAGTAGTAGTTATGTGAAGTGAATGACAATACAGCTGAAGGCACAATGCTGTATTTATATAGGGAGAAAAAGTAGGCATACACCAAACTCGACCCAACAAAGTATTTATCCCTATTATTTGTGGTCAGCTACATGAATCCTATGTATATCTGTTAAACTGCGAGCTATCATATTTTTTTTATAGTTTTTTTCTCGAAGTTAATTTCAATTTATCTCCACCCCTCACATTACCTTTAGTATGTATCAAATCATTGTTCACCCCTGGTACATTATTAGTCCTATAAACATGTCCAAACTAGTCTATTCTCTCTTAATTTATCTTCTGTTGGTGTTATTTCTAATGTTTCACAAATAGTCTCATTCCTAATTTTTGTTCTACTTGTTTCTGAATATCATCCCCTTTTCTTAGTGTTAATTATCATTTTGCTTATCTAATTTTCTTTGGACCATCATATTTCTGTCACTAAGATTGGTGAGGTTCTGTGAATTTAACATTGTTGTGTCACTAATATGGTGCGTGCATGTTAATTTATGCATGGTTTAGTTACTATGCAAGCACAAAAGGAGGCTCCTCCTGATATGCAATGCAAAGACAAGTTCCTACTTCAAAGTGTGGTCGCAAGTCCTGGAGCCACAACAAAAGATATCACTCCAGAGTTGGTAATGATATTATAATGACTAGATAAATGTCAAAATGCTACGCTAAAAGTTTAAAGTAGAACAAGTAGTTGTTATATTGTGTTCTCTCCATTTTAGTTTAACAAGGAGTCAGGGAGTCATGTTGAGGAGTGCAAATTGAGAGTTGCTTATGTTGCACCGCCACAACCACCATCACCTGTGCGTGAAGGATCGGAAGAAGGTTCTTCACCTAGGGCTTCAGTGTCAGATAATGGGACTGTGAATGGAACAGAGTTCAATTCTGTGAGTAATTGCGATGTTTAAATGGTCTATTTGGAAGACAGGATTTATTTAAGTTTGTTATTCTACTTTACTGACTTAAGTAGATTCTAAAATACCAGTACCTTCATGCTTGCAGGTCGCAAGATCCTATGTTGAGACCCAAGAAAACTCATCTGAGGTTATTTTCTGGATTTTTTCTATTTGTAGTCCATCATTAAATGTTTATTTGCTCTGTGAGTCATTTTTTAGATTTAGAAGAATTATGTAATTAGTAATCAGTGATGTGTAGGTGCATTCCATTAGGGTAATTAGATGTGCCCTTGAGTCGTCTTTTGATCTTATTATCTGCTAACTTTCTTTTTTTTTATCTCTTTGTTTCCTTGGTTTTACCTACTATGAAGAAGACATAACTAGCTAAATTGATCTTATTTTCTCATGAATATCTAGCCTTTTAATTATGGTAGAAACTTCACAAGTTACCTTTTGGATGGCTATAGTAGTATTAAATTTTGGTGTTTGAACATCACTTATTTTGATTTCAGGTAAGGGCCCTTATTTCTAAGCTGTCTGAGGAGAAAAATTCTGCTATTCAACAAAATAACAAGCTTCAGCAAGAACTGGTAAGCGCTCTAGCGTTGAAGTTGTCTCTTAAATTTTTTTTTCATGGTACAAGATAAAGTAGCCTTTTTATGAAACTTATGAAAACTTAAGTTAGATGTGATCAAACTATGTTAAAACTTGAAACAAAATAAGATCATACTCCTAGTATCTGTTGGGAAGAAGGTTCTTGAAAGAGCTTTTCAATGAGGCTTATAGTGATTGCATCACTATGTTTGATCAACACCGATAAAGAATTTGCATCATGAACTTCATTTTACAATCAATCTGGTTTGTGGAAAGATGAAGAAAAGGAAAGAGTAATTGATATACAAAAAGTTTTTTTTTACAGGTTTCTCCTATTGTGAATGCCAAACCAGTCTTAATTTATTTGCTATATGTTCATGCTATCTGGTAATGAAAACTAGGAGAGTTGGATAATGTTTCAACTAAATTATCTTTTCTTTACCAATTCGAGACTAACTTACCTACTTCCGCTCCTACCAGATCCAAGAGAAGAGGCTAATTGCAATATGTGCTGTACTATATTATCTAACACCCAAACATGGAAGAGAATGATCCCCTCTAATTCCGTAGTAGGCCTCTTAAAACTCATTCTCTAAGGACCAATATTTGCCTATAGATGTTTCATTCGGACAACTACACCTGTCAGTTTTTAGCTCATCGAACGTTAGCAAGCATAAGACTTCCGCCTGGTTTCCATATCGTTCCAAAATTTGCCAGTATTGACTCTTGTTTGCCTCAGAATTCTGCAGAAAAATGACAAGTATATTTCATCTTTCTATTTTCATTTAAAAAATTAAGAGAAATATTTTGAACTACTTTCTACTTCTTTATTGCATTGGCTTTTGACAAGTTGATAGTTATAACCAGGCATTTTTTAGGTTTGACGATAAAAAGACAACATTTTATGGTCCATAGTCACACTACTCACTGATCACTTTGATCAACAATTGTGAAACTGTGGCCATGTTTAGGTTTCAAAGTGCTGTGGTGTCTAAAGTATAGTATACCGTTGACATGTGTTCATGATGCCCAAGTTATTAACAAAAGGAGTGTAAATAAGTGAGATGTAATAAAGTTAGATGCTGAGTGATAGCTGGAGGATGGTTTTGTGGGGTAATTTGTGGGGGTGGGGTGGGGAATACATATTAAGGAAACAATAAATTCAGTAGCTGGGAGTTTCTTAAATGATAGAGGAATAGATAGGGTGTCATTCCCAATGAAAATTCAAACCTCAATATAAGAAAGTTTTAAAGATTGCTTAACTCTGAAATAGTATGCTTACAGTAACCTCAGAAGCATAAAAGCAACAAGAAAAAAAAAGGTGTGATAAGTCAAGAAATATTGTGAACATTTGAAACTATATAGGAAGCTCGAAAGGTGTACACTTTGTGAAAAGATTGTGGATGTTAAATGTGTACCTAGTCTATCCTCTGCATTCCGTTTTGTTGGACGAACACATTATAATGTCCTCTAATAAAGAGAGAAGATATTGAAGGACCTACAAATGGGAACACTAAAACCAAAGTCTTACCCTCTTTGAGCTAATTTTGTGCAGGATCTATTGCGGCAGGATGGTAACAAAAGCCGTAGTGGCATTCCATTCATATATGTTGTTATTGTTGGCTTGCTTGGCCTCCTTCTGGGGTACATTATGAAGAAGACATGACCGATGGAGTTTTGGCTCTTATTCCTTTGTGCTTGTTGCTGCTCCAGCTATTTAAAAGATTTTAGAACAATGAAGACGTGTGACTGATTGAGAGGCCATTTGTATTGTATTAGCTGTCTTTCTCGACTCTGGAAAACATGGTCAAACGGGTTTTGATGGGTTTTGCACATGCTTAGGTGAGCTCTAAGATCATCCATTGTGCGACTAACTGCTTTGACGTACCTATTTTAGTAACATTAGGATGGTGTATTTTGTTAGCATTATATTTTCCTCTTCTTTTTTTCCATACATGAAGCTGCATCACAATAGTCAATTGGCTCTCAGATGGATGGCATGGGTAAGTGGCAGACCAGTTCGGTGTAATAAGCCAAGTGCAAGCTTTCCCTGTTCTGCAAAATTGGGACGCTGTTTATTTTTTTGGGTACTAATTTCTTGAATCCAAACTGACGTATCTGGCTTGTGATTGCTAGTTATTTTTAACTAAAATCACAATTTGAGCTGTTTTTTTTTTTCATTGGATTAATAAGATCAATTCCTTGCTTATTTGGGTCATATTGTTTTGGATTTTGTTTGGTTTTTTTTTTTTTAAAAAAGAGATCAGGTTTGATTGTTTGTTTTCATAATTGTGCCATTTGATGTGAAATGTGGAGGTTTATCCCTCTAAGGGCTTTGCCCCTTATGACCAAGCTCGAGGTTCGTGTTAAATTTTTTGAGGGCGGTGCTTCAAGGGTAGAGGCTTATCTCTCTTAGGGCCTTGTTCTTAACGTCCGAACTCGAAGTTTGTGTTAAATTTCAAGATTTGACTCTTGAAGTCAACTTAGTAGTAAAAATTTTTCAACTTTGATATATTCCATGATTGTTTTGTAATTGATATGCCTACGTGCCCCCTGTGGCAATGATTTTGTATGGACCCTCTTAATTGGGGTTGAGTTTTTCTTCAATAGATTCTTGTGTATTGCCCACAATTTTGCGCAATACTAAGTCCCTCACCTGAAAACTCTTTGTTCGGATTTTCTTTTGATGCTATCTTGATAACTCCTTCATAGTTAGATAGTTTGTAGATGTCAATTTCTTTTCTTTCTCAATCAAATCGAGATCCCCGGCTAAGATTTGATCATTATTTCTTAACTCGAAGGTTTGATTTCGTATAGTCGATAGTTCTACCTCCAAAGATATGATTACTCAAAAAATTTAACACGAGTTTTAGACTCGATCATTAAGGGTAAAGTCTCAAGAAGAGTAAGCCGTCATCTTAAGAGTGCCACCCTTGAAAAGTTAACACAAGTCTCGAGTTCGATCGTCAGGGACAAGACCCGAGAGGAATAAGGCTCTATACTTGTGTGCTGCCATTATCTAAAGAATCATTACATACATTTTATTGTAATTATGTCGAACTACTTAGACTGTGTTTAATTTAGATAGAACTTAACTCAAGCTCAATTCATGTGTTTAAATGAGTTGAATTTGAACAATTTTTTAAGTTGAGTTACCCGAGGCCAAGCTCAACTCAGATAGAACTCAATTCAAACTTGATTCATGTTTTAAATGAGTCAAATTTAAATAATATTTTAAAATTGTTTAAAAAATGAGCCCAGAAAAATTTAATTCAAGTTCACAAAATTTAACTCGTTTATGTAAAATAATTGAGTTACTTAAATTTAACTTATTTTAAACTTGATTTATTTTCTAAAGGAGTTAAACTTGAATAATTTTTTAAACTTGTTTCAAAAAATGAGCTTAATTCGAACATGTAAAATTCAACTCAATTATCAGTTCTGCAAATGCTTATATTTATAGCGGGTACGAAAAGTCCAACCTAATTTTATTCCCCTTTGGAGAGACTAATTCTAAAGCCTATGCAAAGAATAGAAAGAGGGAAATGTTGCACCTGGCCCGATCCGGTTTAACCCAGTGTCAGAGAAGTAAGAATACAGAAGTATTCACTTTATTCTCCCAATATAGAGTCCTCAAATTTTGACTGTGTGTGAATTAAGTGCTTAATAATTGTGTCAATTAAATCCTTCTTCTACTTCCATTAAAAAATCTACGGACACAAATGATTGAAATAAATTATATAGATGATCTTCAAACTATGACATTTATATCAATTAAGCCCCTGAATTTTTATTTTTTTTTGTTGCCAATTGAACCCTAAACTCTAATTGTATAAATTGAGCCATTTTATCTTTTTGTGCCATATAATCACGTGAGGGCGCACTATAACGGAAGCAAACAGAAGTATCTAATTGATATAATTAGATAGTTCAGGAGCTCAATTGATACCAAAAAAAATAAAAAATTTAGGGACTTATTTGACATAAAGATCATACTTTGAAGGTCATATGTGTAGTTTACTCAAAAATATTGGCCAGAACGTAAACATAAGCAATTCAGAGAGCTTTGCCGTCAGGGAGCTGAACCTCGAAGAGGGCCACCAAGGAGGCCGAGGAGAGCTATCTGGTGCCAGGGTTCTGCCCGTAATTCATAAGACTTCCTAAATCGAGTGCTGCGATAAGTGATTTTGTCCGAGAGGCATTTCGTCCGATTGGTTGAGAGCTACAGGAAGTGAATTCAATTGGCAGCATAAAGTTCGGTATAATTCTTGAAAAAAGTTCACCTGTTAAAACATTCGAAACGAATTGAAGAGAAGATAAGATGAATATAGAAACCGAAAGAACAGGTTTTATGTGACGATTCATTAAATCAGTGACGATCTGGGTACATCAATCCAAACGAGATGAGTTCGTAATCTAGATCATTAAAATATATTATCCCAAATTATAATACTAATCTGAAATCGATTCTCTTTGGAATATGTAACACAACTATAAAATATATACGAATATATATAGATCTATAATTATATAGTGTTTGAGATAATAAAAAATTGAGTATAAATATAAGATAAATAGTAATTGACTTTGCGTTTATAAATATTGTGTAACAAATAATGTTGTATAATAGTGTAAAGTATCTAGATAAGAATTCCAAAACGAATCCTTGATCAGAAATTTCTCTATGAAAAAAACGAATCGGAGTTTGAGGAAGGGGAAGGAAAAGAAGCCCTCGGCCTGCACTAGATAGAGGAGGATTTATTCAATCATATAGTTTGGACTCCTAGAATATGGAGCGGCTACGATATTATAAGTTTCTTCCTCTTGACCGAATTTGTAATCTTCATTAGTAGATTCATTTTTTGTGGTTTCCCTAATCAAATTAGAAGTTACCAAGGAACCATGTAGAGCACTGAATAGGGAGCCCAGTTAAGCCTACCCCCATCATATTGAGTACTNTGACCGAATTTGTAATCTTCATTAGTAGATTCATTTTTTGTGGTTTCCCTAATCAAACTAGAAGTTACCAAGGAACCATGTAGAGCACTGAATAGGGAGCCCAGTTAAGCCTACCCCCATCATATTGAGTACCTAAGAAAGTGTCGTACTGTGTACCCGTATCATGTACCAAAACGACCCACAATCCAGACAACATTCACAGTACCACAATTTGTGACTTTCAGCAGCGAGAAGAAAAATACGAATAACAGCAGAAATAAAAGTGAAATATAGGATCTCAACGAATCAGCTTGCTCTAAATTCAAATTAAAACGGCTATTAGTTGATTCAAATTTAGTGCTACCTGGTAGCTCAATAATCCTGGGCCTACTAAATATCTTTGAGCTTTTTAGGATTTCAAGTTCAAAACATGATTTTCCATTGAACCACAGGAATAACAGACAATTTTCTTCAGAACAACCATCACAAAGTTCATTAGGATAAGAATCTAAGCACCATTTCTAAATAACATAGATCCTCACTTGCTTGCAACATACCTGGAGAAATACGATACCCAACTGGCTAATCATGCTTTTGAAGTCACGATGGTAGTTTCAGTCTTCTGTACCATGTTGCATCGATCAACAATTGTGCGAAAATCATCAAGGCTTAGCTGCAAAGAAGCCAGCCAGACAGTTGGGACGAATAATGAAGTAAAGGAACAAACACTTTTTTTCCCGGAAAGTAAAGTTGTAGAGGGACAACCATAATATCAAGTTATCAACTACCCATAATGTATTCCTAATGTATTAGGCAATGCTGATATACAGTAACTCCCTCAGGCACCATTACACATTTATGTGTTGCTTAATAGTCCAAGTTATGGAGCCATTTAAAAATGGAAAATGAACACTCCGTTTTGGCTTACATTTCTGCAGCCTACAAAGAGCAAGCAATTAGATCAGATGGCATATCTCTTACATTAAAAACACACAGGATGTACATAAATGATCACGATCCCTGAAAATACAGATACAAAAGATGCAAATCACCTGGTTTATTACAACTGTCAAGTCTAGTAAGCAGTGCTGACTGGTAGGTTCAACAACTACTGTGGTGTTAGTTCTTAGTTGGACCATTTTTGATACCAATATCAAATCATTTTCCCAGTTACATGATCATAAAAACAAAACTCATTACAATTTATCTTAGAAAATTTTGATGAGCATAACCATGCAAATAGATAATAGGGAAGAGAAGAAATTTCTGACGAGTCACTAGTTAGTCTTTTCTTTTATCTTGTAAGAGTAGTAGTATGCTAGACTTTTCAAGGAATTCTTGTAAGCCACTTGGTCATCAACCAATAATGTCTCTACATTCTTTTGTTTTCGGATGTCATTACCAAAAAAGATCTGCATACAGCGGTACCTGTGCACCAAGTTCAAAATCCAACCAAAATTCTCTAGGATGCACTAGACCAATTTTAAGAGAGAATTGCTTTCCACCTCCATTAACCATTTAGCATTCTTGTCTTCCCTTTCCCTTTATTTTTCTCAAATCAGAAATTACAAACAACATCTGATGGGACAAACACAAATGAAAGAATAAAAGGAAGACTGAGAGCAAGTAATGACCTTCCCATCACCATCACTATCAAAGCAATAGATCATATCTGCTATCTCTTTGTTTGTCCAAGTAAAATCATGGGCAGCTGCTACTCTCTGTAAGTCCCTTAGAGTTATGCTCCCTTTCCCCATTTCTGTGAAGCAACGTTCCACCTCATCAACGGCAGAAGTAACTTAAGAAGAACAAATCCTAACAGAAAGATTACAGAATGCAGAAATATTTAAATTTACAATGTCTGATAACAACTTTTCATTTACTTGGTCGTTTCCAATATTATGAAGGGATAGAAAGGGCATATGTTAGATCATGGTTCAAAGTATCGGCCGAGTCATATCCGTCTCAGCAATTGCCGATCCAATAACAATACACGTTACACCAATATAACGAGATTCGACTGAATCGGTCCTGACTTGGTTACAACACGGTGGTATCGGCCCAACTCAGAACTAAATCGGTTGGACTTCGCCGAGTCGAACAGAATCAGACTGCTATGGTACAACTAGATCTAGAAAATTTGAGCAGCAAAAACCCTAAAAAAAAGAGAAAGGAAGAAGAAAATGGACGAGACTCACTTGCATATTTATGGGTTAGGTTGAATTCATAACAAAATAAACAAAAGAGGATTGATAAGAAATAAAACAAAAAATAAAACGCCCATCAGTTAAAAATCCACAAAAATTCATCAGCTTTTCAAAATTCAAACCCTAAATCAATGACAAAGAAAATCCTCCAGTCCTAAATCACACTTTTTTGGAATTATAAGAACAAAAGAAGAAGAATAGAAAGTATACGTAATAAAAACCTACAAATCTTCATCTTCATCTTTATCTACTTCTTGTTGCCCTTTAGAAGCAGAGCTGGAGTGCCCAACATCGTCTCTTCTTCTCCAGTAGAATGACGGTTCTCTCTGCCTTCACGAATCATGATCGACTCTCTCTCTCTCTCTCTGCGTTCGACGAAATGAGAGTGTTGGACCGTTAGGTACCAAGTAGTCAGTACAAATAGCATTAGTGTTATATATAGATGTCGGTGGGCATTGGGAGTATACCATGTATGTTAAAACCCTATTTAATTATTATAAAATTAGATTGCATGATTATTATGTATGTAAATATATAAACTAAAGTTTCTTTAAATTCTTATATGTTCCCATACATCATTTTTTTTTTTATAATCACATAAATCAAATTGATTTTTTTTGGTAATTTTCATGTGTTGTTTAATTATAAAATGTGGCGATGATTATAGAACGGTATTTTTTTAAATGTTTAAATTGAATGTCATAAAGATAAATATTTTCATTAGCGCCCTTATAATTCGTTTTTACTATATTTAATGTCTTCGATTATGTATTTTGACATATGATATACGAATGATGTTGTTTACATTTTTAAATATTTTTCATAATTTTTTTAGAATTTTTTGAGTTTTCTATCTAGTATTTTGAACCTATCAACCGATATTGTGCCGATACGCCGCGACCGATGTGTATCAGTGTCATCCAAATCGATGGCCGATACCGCAACTTTGAACCATGTGTGCCATGGTGAGGGTCAATCACACACACGAAGATATCTATATAATAAGAGAGCTAGAAGTTTGAATCTTATCCCCATATATTTTTTTCGCCCCTTTCTATCACAAGTTGAATTATTTAATTTTTTATTAATTTGTGACTCAATACAATTTATTTCACACATTGTTCATATACGATAGTGTACACATGTTGATAGTTTTTTTGAGGTCATTTGTTGATTTTTTATAAAAGTAACGGGTAGAAATTAATTTCAAATTATGTAATTAAAAAAAAGAAAAGAAAGAAAAATTGTTATTTGATATAATGGTATCGATTTTTTGGATTCTTGAATTTTATGTTGCATCATGCCTTCAGACTCGGGTTATGACTGATATATATATACCCTCCGAAAGTCAAAATTGGTATTTGATGGTGACACTAATGAAATCTTCAAATGTTAGGAGCCTAAGACACCGGCGGACTCCCCATTCCAGTGCATTTTCAATATTTGGTGCTGATGCAAAGGATCTTATCTGCATTTCTTACAAGCCTCTGACATATTTCTTCTCGCTGATCCCTTATCAGTTTAGAAATTTAAGAGGAAATAAACTTTCCAACAATTTTATGTGATCAGCCACACTCAGATTCAAAATAATTCTAACTTCCTTACATAACTTGCTGAATCCTAGATTAGGTCCTTCATTCTGTTAACTAGTTACATAAGAAGGCCAGACTGTCTTCGGTGCACAACTTTTTTGAGAAATATTCAAACAGCAACCAGATACAGAAATTCTCCAAGCAAAACTACCTATTGGTAAAGTTACACTAACAATCCAAATGTGTGGGCAATGAAGTACCCAAGTCAGACACGATTTCACACTTTATGGATTGGGTTCATATATCCATATCTGGTTGGACTAATACAACTAGCGTGTCTGGTAGTTCAAATTTTACAAAACTCTTGTACAACCTAACTGCTTACATAAATCAAGTGGCATGCCAAACATTCTTATGTTATATCCACATTCCATTCACCCGTAAAAATGTAAAGAGAAAATATAAAAGATTTTGAAAAATCAACTGCATTCTGTATCCTTGGATTTAACAAATGAGTTTAAATGCACATATAGATACACATGAAAGATAGGTATGTGGCCATGGACAAGATTGCCCTGATAACAAATGTTTTATTGGTTCAATATTTCAATATTTGCACTCATTTATAACATGGTAGCAGGGACTAGAGATTACCGTCAAATTGAAAAAAGTGTACAACCAACTCATCTTCAGTCATTTGCACTCGACTAGAATTTTGCTGACCACAAATGAAAAAGGTGATCAACAAAGCAGTCAGAAAGAAAAGGAAAATAAGGGAAGAAGGAAAAGCAAAATTCTTTAGTAAAACCACCAATCCAGGCCAAAACAAACCGATTTTTTTCTCTTCCTCTTTCCTGTATCTTCCTGAGAATAGCTGGTGCCCTTTCCTTCATTAGTCATACCCTCTACTATATGTGCAGCAGAACTTTGAGAAGGAACATTGTTCACCATATCCAAAACCCCTGTAGAATCCTGTAGTGAAAGAGCAATTGCCTGCATAGATGTGCTGATGGATTATTGCAAGTTCATATAGTATAATTTTACCAAAAATCAAGTATACAATACTTGGGAGGTTTAATTATTCATTGAACCACCAGCTACAATTCAGAACTGATAGAGATATACAGAAACCAACTGAAATTCACCTGCATTAAGGCGTCATCATCAATGTCAACAAAATCTGAGTTGCTCAAAGGCTTTTGGACAACAGAACTCTTCTTAGGTGTTGGATTTTTTTTCTTTCCCTGGAGTAAGAGAATTAAAGTCATTATCATGGACTAAGATAATTGAGGAAGAATTTCGAAGATGTTAACACACACACAGAGGACCTTCTTCATTCGAGATCCAGAAGGCTCATCATCACCATTATTATCATCCTCTTCACTGGAAAGACTCAGCCCCTCCTCACGCTCTGGCCTATACTCCTCATCATCTTCCTCTCCCACCTTTCGTTTTCCCTTCTCACTCTTCTTCTTTGTTTTCTGAACCGAACCCATCAAAGAATTCGCCATTTTATGCAACCCCAAAGCCTTCATTCTCGCTCTGTTCTCCTCAATTCTTTGCATTCTTTGCTTCTCATAGTCTGACACCTTCTGGGTCGCCCCATTTCCTGGGGTTTCGAGATCTTCTGAGCTTGAATCCGAGTCGTTTTCTTGTGTTTCAGAGTCTGAGAGACCGTCTTTGGCCATTTTTCGCAACTGGGAGTTTGAGTTTTTTTTATTGAATCGATGGATTCAAGATGTGTTTGTGACGTGGGTTAGGATCGTATTGGACTGTGCTAGGGTTCTTAGGTTATGGGTTTTTCCTGAAGGGGGTAATGGTAGAGAAAAAACTGAAACGCGGGAATTTTGTTGGTAACGAGGGCAGTTTTGGTAATTGTCAGCAAAGTTAGTGGGAACAAGTTAAGACATAAAAGTATCACGTTAATATTAATCATGCTTGAAAAATAAAACGACCAATGATAAATAATTAAATTAATGAAACATTTATATCAATTATATATATTCATCTAAAGTTGAATATTTAATTTTTAATTAAATATATAATTTTTATTTTGAACACTGCTCATATACGATAATGAACATATATTTATATTTTTAGAAAATTTTGTATATTGAGAAAATTTTATAAATTTTTATTTTTAAAAATAATAAGTATAAATTAATTTTAAATAATGCAATTACAAAAAGAGAAAAAATATATATTATTTAATTTAATGAGTTCTTTTTTTTTTTTGTGGCTGAAGTTATTCTTAGTGAAAAGAACATATAATATCATTCACTAAATAAATTAACTAACAATTAAAAATAAAATTTGACTCCCATGTAATATAACCCTTTCCTAATTTGAATTTCCGAAAATGCCCTCCCGCGCTCTCTCTCTCTCTCTCTCCCTATGTGTGTGCTTGCCAATCACGTTGTTCTTCTTCTTCATCTTCGTCGAAAACCCTCATTCTCAATCGACCCACTTCGCTAATATCAATCTCGAGCTCTTCTTCAATGGCTCCAGAGATAGTTAAAATTGCTCTGGTCGGTTTGGTAAACCACCATCGGATTTTCAAAGCCATGGCCAGAGCCAAGCCGGAGCAGATTGATGAAAGTGAAGCCACAGAGGTACTAGTAGATCTCAAACTTAAATGTTAGATAATATTTGTGGAGAAATTATAGACATCGAAACATTAGATACACCCAACGTGGGATTATGTTGTTTAAAACTTTCTTCGCATATTGCCGCTGATGGATTTTGGGTTGAACGATATTAAGTTTCTACTGTTTCATTGCTGGGAAAATGAGAGAATAGAGTTAGTTTCTCTGTTGGATTGCTGAGACAAATTGTTATTTTCATTCCTGGCCAAATGATCAAAATTTTATTTCGAAATAATTTTTGTTTTCAATGAAAATGAAGCGAATCAACAATGAAATCGAAATTCTAATATTTGAAGGTGTTTCAATATGTTCGGTAACGTTTCAATGCATTTACATAATTGTTTCGAAATGTTTCAAAATATTTTAAAATATTATGGTATATTTCGATCAATATTTTGAAAAATAATTTTTAAATTTTTTATTTTTTTTATTCTGTTTTTGAAATGAGGCGAAACGTATTTAAAACACACCGAAACGTTTTGCACTGAAATGAAATTTCAATCATTGTTCCTAGGTAGCATAATTTATCGGAGTTGAGTGTCGAGTATATGCTATTGTTACATTTGTGGAGTTGAGCAGTGAAGTTTGAAAAGTCGAGTTCCTTTGGCGACTCTTCTTTTTGTCGCTTTCTATTTGAGATGGAATTTGGAAGATCCCTCTAATGGTGTAACAGGAACCCAGTATAGCAAACAGCTTAAATCCCTACCTATTTTGCATTGGGATATGCCTACCACATATGCTTGCTATTATCCTTGAAAACAGAAAATTTGAAATTAAGATTGTTTGCCCTTTAAACGTCTTGTTGGCATCGTTTAACATTTTTTTTTCTTTTTTTTATGATTTCACCAGTTATGTAGCTTTTGGGCTTTTGAACTTCTTTGGATCTCTAGCTTACCAAGTCAATGATCAAATGGGATGAAGGACTCAGGTTCCTTATACCTGGACATGGTGGCCCTTTTACTCACGGTTGAGTTCTGCTGTACGACATTCATCGTCTCATTTGTGCACAAGCATTTGTTTCCATTTTTTGCTTCTAGGATTTATAAAGATCTTACCATGTTATAATTTTCAAATAAGTGTTGGCTAGCTCCGTTAGTTGTGCTTACATGCAGCTATAGTGTTTGGTTTTATATGATTGACCTGTTGTTCTGTGCAGCTACTTCCTCTTGTTAGAGATATATGAGTATGAAACTGAACTTCACTTCATAACGTGCTAAATCAACTTTCAGGATGCTATTAGGGTGGTGCACAGGCATGTAGTTCATTAAGCAAACACAGCTCATGATAGTTCTATGGGGCAGCTCGTGAGATAATGTTGGGGAACTAATCTATCCACTGTAAGTTGTTACAATGTACCTCTGCTTAGAAGGCTATGGTAAAAAAAAAAAAAAAAGAACAAGGTTGAAAGTATAGAGGCTGATGGATCACCCAGTAGTTATGCTTATCAGGATGAGAAGAACCGGACTCACTGAGCTCACTGACGTGGTACATAACTTCAGATAAAAGTCATAAAACCAATGATGGATGATACATCTGAAAGATGGATGAGACCTTGGTGTATCACCTTACATTTGACAATATTAGTAGAAATTAGCTTTTCCATACTCAAGTGATAAGAAGAATATAGGCTGAACTATTAGATATCAACGATCAATGTGCATATATCTTATATTGTTCATATTCATTAAAAAAAATGGAGAAGAGGAGTATTTGAGAGAAATGAAATTTGTGCCTCAATATGTTTCTCTCTTGTGTGGAACTATTATTCAGGTCAGTTGTATGAAAAACCGGCTAATTGATATACGCAACAGAAAGAAAAAGGCAAAGAGTAAATCGAACTTGGACCTTGAGATGGTTATTGAGCTATTATATGTTCCACATGATCCAATACATGACATCCAAATTTTATACATCAGTCTACAAATGGAATAGCACATGCTCTAGTTCTGATTATCAGTAGTTCATGGAATCATTCATTTGACCAGGCTCATTCATGGAAAATGGTTTTTTTCTTTTTATTTTTATGGTTTCTGTGTAATTTTGGGTTTTTTATTTCCACTGCATCGGCTGAGTTCGAGCTGTATTGCTGATAATTGATTGTGCAAAATCCATGCCAAATTTATGTCCCCAGCATTCTAATATCAATGACATATCTCCATCTGGGTTGTATTTGTTCTATATACATATCCTCTGATATGAAGCAGTGTTAATTAGCATATCCTTCGTGGGGGACTATTCTTCCGTTGTTCCAAATAGTTTTTATCAGTATCTGTCAGTATCCGATGGCTGCATAGTGCTTTCTACTCCTACCACCTTGATGTGGTTCAACAGAAGAATGAAGTATGGAATAAACTATTAACTGCTTCTGAGTTCAATCCATGACCATAAGAATACAAATCCTGGAACTAATGGAATAATTCTCCAGTTGTGAAGCATCATTTTATTATGACTTCTGTTGAATTAACACACTTAGCTTTTGTTCTGGTTTTGCATTGGCATCTGACTTCCAGGTATCCTAATTGACCAACATGGTATACCCTCTGCTAATCCCTTACAGATTAATGCATTGCATGTGGGTTAATCTAAGTAATTCGGTATCAACGATCAAAATTTCGTTTTCATGCATTGTTTCGGTCACCTAGGAAACGGAAACGTTTTGACCCGTTTCGAAAACAGAATGAAAAAAATAAAAGAATTAATTTTTCAAAACATTGGTTAAAATATACCCAAGTATCAAGAAATACTTTGAAACATCCGCACAATCACAATTGTGCACATGCATTAAAACATTACAAAACACCTTGAAATATTATAAAACACCTCAAATTATTAGAATTTCGATTCCATCACTGATTCATTTCGATCTCCTTGGAAACGAAAACGTTTCGGATGTTTCAACCATTTCGAAACGAAATTTTTGATCCTTGCTCATTATGTTTGTGAGCTTCAGAATAAGGGGAAATATTTAATAGCCTATCAGTTTTAGGTATTTGGCTAATGAAAGATATGAATAAAAGAGCGGATAAGGGAAGAAAATAGTGAATTGGATGAATTATGTCTCCTTTAAGTCAAAATTTATTAGCTTCAACGGTTAATCCATTTTGCCTGATTTAGCAAGAAAAAAACGTAAAATAACTTCAGTTTGCTAGCAGGAGTTTTTTTTCATCTTTCTCAACATTCTTTCTCACAGTATACCTGCCAACTTGATCACTTAATCACATTTCATTCTGATTATTACTTGCAAGAATTTCATCATAAGAGGTGAAGTACACATCTTACCTCACTACTCTCTATTTGAAGGAGTAATGCTAAGGGATTTTACAAGACAGTTTTAGTTTTTATATGCTAAGTGGTTTGTTGATATACATCAAAGAAAAAGCCTTGGTTTTTCTGGCCAAAAGAAAAAATTTATTTGTTGTTACGCAATTCTCATCTAATCCTTATTTGACCAGTATTATCGACTATGATTTAACTTTTTGTTTGTGTGAGGTTGAAGTCGGATACCTGATATTAGGTTTTCATAATTTAGGTTGCTGAAGAATTAAACAACCATATACTCCAAAAACTTAAGCTATTGGAGACGGTGTAACTTAAGTATTTATACTTCAACATAGGTGTAATTTCTATTTATGAACTTTGCCTTCTATACTCCCAAAGATTTATTGCTCATAATCTGAGGTCAACAAAGATCAATTGCATCAACTAGCTGTCTTACGTTTGAAACTATATATATCACATCTGGTTAAGTTTGCCTACGATCAAGCTGCATGGTTTTGTGCAGGTGGAATACTAGACAGGGTGGGCAGCTATGTATTTACAGGTGCACTTGCATACTCCTTTGTCAAAACCATTTTCCCACTAAATGGAGTAGATTGACATCAAATCTACTATTAGACTATTAGTACCATGCAAGCGAGTATGCAAGAGCTTGGACAAACATTGGGCCATTCGAAGGTGTTATTGCATCTTGAATATGAGAAAAGGCAACTGAGATTGTATTTGCTGTTCTACCGAGTTTATTAATTTACATCTGCACTCTAGTTCGAAAGAGTAATTTTTTGAGAAACAGACGAGTCTTATGAGATCAATTCTCCTTCAGATTAACCTGACACATGTGATTTCTGTTTTAAAGTAGATTCATGGCAATCTATGCCATAA